TAGGTTAGGTTAGTTAGGTTAGGTTAGGTTAGGTTAGGTTAGGTTAGGTTAGGTTAGGGTTAGGTTAGGTTAGGTTAGGTTAGGTTAGGTTAGGTTAGGTTAGGTTAGGTTAGGTTAGGTTAGGTTAGGTTAGGTTAGGTTAGTTTAGGTTAGGTTAGGTTAGGTTAGGTTAGGTTAGGTTAGGTTAGGTTAGGTTAGGTTAGGTTAGGTTAGGTTAGGTTAGGTTAGGTTAGGTTAGGTTAGGTTAGGTTAGGTTAGGTTAGGTTAGGTTAGGTTAGGTTAGGTTAGGTTTAGGTTAGGTTAGGTTAGGTTTAGGTTAGGTTAGGTTAGGTTAGGTTAGGTTAGGTTAGGTTAGGTTAGGTTAGGTTAGGTTAGGTTAGGTTAGGTTAGGTTAGGTTAACACTCGGGGGTTGTTTGATTTTCGAAAGTTATACATCGTCGGAAAGGCCATTTAAAGACGCGTCGATAGACCCAAAGGGTCACTCAAGTTTTTCAAAAACGTCGGAGTTATGGCCGTAAGTGTTTTTCGAGACATTTGGGGTAATAACTCCGAAAAGTCGAGGTCACATGTCGGGGTCGAGGGGCAATTTCGAAAGCCAAAGAACGCGGCTTTCCAACGATACCTCACACTTTAAGATCGACTCGCGAATAACGAGGGGGCAGCCTCTCAAAGATTGCCAAATTTTGTCAAAATTTTCAAAAATTTTTTTCTCAAAAACCAAAAGGCCGATCGAGGAACGGATTACTTATTTCTTAAACGCCGGTCGAGTAGAGCGCACAAAAAAATTACGGTCCAAATCGCAGACAAAAAATTTTTTTCATAATCATCCCTTGGTCCCCCCTTCCAATTTAAAAAAAAAAACTTTTTTATTTACCGTCCGATTTTCAAAATTCGACCGGCGTTGGATAGATCTCGTCGAAAAAGCAAAAATCCAATCATAAAACGTTCGGGGTCATATATAAACGAGGGCGCTAGAGGGCGATTTAGGGGATGACCAAAAAAAATTAAAAATTGACGAAATTTGGCACACACGTTTGTACGGACCTTAGAAAGTCTCCGGTACAACTTTTACCCCTTTACGACCAAAGGGAAGGGTAATAGGGGGTGATAATAGGTTAGAGGTTAGGTTAGAGGTTAGGTTAGAGGTTAGGTTAGAGGTTAGGTTAGAGGTTAGGTTAGGTTAGGTTAGAGGTTAGGTAGCATTGAAAGCATACCTTCACCTTCTCGCAAGGGAAAACAGAGATACACGTTTGCATCTGTATTGGAAAAGTATTGAAAGCACTTTAGATTTGCTACCCTTATACATTCTACACATTGCTCTCTGTCACTTAAATACGATTTTAGTAGTACGGCGGTTGTCCCCTAACTCTGTACCTATGCAATTTTTCTAATAATAGCTCGTGTGAAACGCAATCAAATGCTTTACTTAAATGAAGTAAAGTCATACCTATTGTTTCGTGAACTTCAAGTCTATTTGTTATGATTGATATAGCAGCATAAATAGCTTGTATAGTAGAGCGCTCGTTTCTAAATCCAAACTGATGGGAGTCTGAAAGAATAAGAGGTTTATTAATGTACTTTACTAGTCTTTCTTTCAATAACATTTCAAATATTTTAGAAATTAACGGAGCTATAGCGAGATTGATCAGTAATTATCATTTGAGTCTATTTCGCCCTTTTTAAAAGTAAAAAGGGCTTTGCTAATTTTTAGTATTTATTAAATAGGTATACGTCTTTCGCTATAAAAACCGGTGCACGTCATTGATTTATGAATCAATTTCAGACCAGTTTTCTATAGATTTCGCACACTTGTTTTTTTTTGTACATGTTGCAGTGTTGCAGCATATGTCTAAAATTGATACACAAATCAATGACGTGCAACGGTTTCTATAGCGAAAGACGTATACGTTAGTGGCATTACTAACACGTCACTAATTTCTTTGATTATTATTAGTAGAGCTAATATCAAAGTAGTCAGTGCTATTGTATACCTTAAGTTTGTTTATCGTATTTGAGACCTCATCATCTTCAGTAATGTGCTTTACAACAAATGATGAATTGGTCATAGGAATTTTTGCTAGTAACTCTTTTTGCTTAGTTTTATCTAATATAAGAGTGAAAGTAATTGAATTTGCAACATTCAAAATCTGTCTTGAAAAAGTATTGAAAGCATACCTTCTCTTTCTCGCAAGGGAACAAAACATAGCATCGAATTTATGCAAAAGTAGTAATGAAAGCATACCATCCCCTTCTCCGCATCTCGCAAGAGAATCCGGGTTTTTAAAAAGTAAGAAAAGCATACCTTCGCCCTTTCTCATCGCGAGCGAAAAACGTAGACACTCACGTTTGTATTGCGGTCTTTTGGACAAATAACGGACAATCTTACCAATGTTTCGCTAACTTATTCACAGACCGTCAAATTTTCACCTTCCTAATGTTAATTCAGGAGCGAAGCGAGTGCAAAAGGATCGTATTATGACAAATAGGTAAACGTTCTTATTTAATCTCACCGATGAGAACTCCATGCATATTGTTGGGCGAAAGGTAAAACAAAACATTTTTATACTTTAAATCATTATTAAAACAAAAAAAATTAAAATTTGCCAAAACGTCTATTTTTAATATTCACAAATTTACAAATACATAATATAGTATATCTGCTAGATTTTTATTCAACAATTACGCCGTTTACCAAAGTTGCTTTCGTTTTTCACATGCACGGGCCGGCGGCGGCTACCTTTGCCGACGAATCGGTTTACATTTCCCGTCGCACTCACCTATTATAGTTACGAAGTCGGTATTAGTAGTAGTGAATCCATCCATAGTGAGACAAGAGACACCATAAGCGCGAAGAAACAAATGCGCCTACACTTCAGAAAAGTGGTTCGCAAATCGCAATCTGTCAAAGTCGCGAATCGGTAAGCAACGTGTTTAACTGGCGAATGTAAAAATGGTCAAAACAACAAAATAGTCGTAAAAAGATATAGGTATACCAAACTCAGTCTGTAATTATTTTCTTAGATTCGCCGCAAACCTATATAAAATGTCCTTTTCAATATCACTATTGCAATATATATTCAATTGTTTGGACGTTTTTAAACGAATGAACACGCTTCTCAGTCCAAGTGCCGAGAATCGGGATAACATGGGATCGTGACGTTGAATTTTTTGCCACCCTATCTTGCCTTTCGTTATCTGTTCCGGCATTTGAAGTGCGGCCCGCACTATTCTTCTTTCGTCCTCCGAACTGTACCTCGAAATTGGTTTATCGTAGGCGATCGAAGGTGGCGGGAGCGGCGAAAGGGCGCCGGCGTCGTCAGATGTGGAAGGATCCGGGCGGCGCGAAGTCGAAGGTATATCATGCGGTGGCGGTCGAGGCGACGAGGCGGATGGACGGGCCAAAATAAAAAGTTTGCGTTTCTTCGTCGCCGGTATAGCCGTCGATGCCGAGCGGCGGCGTTGTCCGTACGTACGTCGCGGCCGCGCGATGAAAGCTGCAAACAAAGAGTAAATTGTAGCGCTTTCGCTTTCTCTCTCTCTCTCTCTCTCTCTCTCTCTCTCTCCCTCCTCCTCCTCCTCCCCCTCTCTCTCTCCATCATTCCACGTTAGTGGTATCCAAGTATTATGTATACATAATTTTGTTTATTAATAACAACTTACACTTTTCATTGTAGGTATTTGCCAATTGCATATTCCTAACATTGGCCGACGATGTTTCGACTATGGCCCACATGCGTTTGTTTCTGTCAACGCCATTTATTAATTGCAATGGGAAGACGCGGATGGTGGCTAAGGCTTCGATAAAGACGGGCGTGTTGAAGTCGGCGTTCTCCACCCTCACGGCCGCCTTTATTAACTGACCCGTCGCGGTGGTAGGCGCCCTCAGAGCGGCCTCAACGGTCGCCGAATTTATAATTGCGACAATGACGCTCGCGCCGATTCTGGCATCGTAGTACTGTCTATCAAACGAAGGTGTAGCCGTCGCCGTTGTTGTTTTTATGCCAGGTCCGTACGTCCTATACGCATAACTAGCCAGCGCGTCAAGATACGCGTATATTCTACCGGCGGCGGCAGAAGGCGCCGGATCGTCCGAACTGCGGCGGGCATCGCGTGCCATTCTCCTTTGCTCGCACGCTTCAATTATGTCGCATATAAGGTGCGACATTCTGGATAGGAGCTTGGGAAGATCGCCGTAAAGAAAGGGGTTTATGTCCCTGACGTCTCCAAACTCCGCTTTGGTCATTATCGACCTACCGTCGCGTCCGTGGACGCTCTTCAAAATCGTCCCGCCCAGAAGTACCTTTTTTAAGACGCCGTATCCGCACCCTATTTTTAAGGTCGAGCCGGACATGAAAAATTGCAGGTCAGTTAAACGAATGGCGAGCAACCGCAACTCGTCAAAAGTAAAACTTGGCGGAAATTCGGCCAATTTTATTAAAATTCCACGTATTCTATTCAGACGGGACGCCCAAAGGACCTCGTTCTCGTACCGAATTAACAGGCCGTGCCGAGTGACAAGACGTCGCATTGCATCAAAAATGTAGGGTTCCATCAGCACCTCCGCCGCTTCGTTGTACCGACCGTAATTGGTTACCACCTCAAATCTGGTATGGTGCCTGTGCCTCAAAAAATTTAAATGGCCAGCGTATGCAGCAGGCAGGCGTTCGCATTTGCTTGCAAAAACGTCGGTCGCCGCTATGCCTTTAAATTTATTGTAAAATAAATACAGGGCGTAATTGACGGTATGGTACGGTTTAGAGAGGTGCGCGGCTCCGTCGTAAAATTGAACGAATGACGTGCGATGGCGGCGTAACTCTTCGGGAAGGTCGTCTTCGTTCACGTGGCCTCCTGCGAACGAGTGCCGAATACCCCATTGACTGTATTTGGCAATTTTTAGTTTTTTGATGAAGGCGTTGTTATAATTGAGGACAATCGGTCCTCCTGAGGTCGCATCAGCCGTATAATTAACGGCGAAGTGCAGCTGCACTAATTGAACTAGCTCCTGACGTCGGATCTGTGAAAATGAATAGGTGATAATAACATAAAGAGCTTTACATAATCAGTCTTATTATAACTTACGTATGTTGTCAAAATTTCTGCCACGTCGTGGCTGCTTGCCTTCTTACCGTGTCCGGCCATGTAAAAAAAAAAGGACACCGTGTTTTTAAAAGAGGTATCATTTTCAAAAGCCTCTCTAAAATTTCTCAGAAACACGTCGTAATCCTCTTTAAAAAGTTTTGTAGAGACGGACTCGTGCAACGGTAACGGTGCGCAAAAATGCAACCTCGTTTTACTATCAAAAGGCATACGTTGCAGCGCCGGATATATGTATGCTTCTAAAAACTGTTGTTTTACGACCGCCAGGTTGCATACATAATCTCGCACGAAGACGCCGTCATCGTTCAATACGTCGTGCAACGTACTGCAAGCAAGAAATTATATATGTATATATTAAATAATAAACTATTTTTGAATAACTAGTGTATTTTTTAATGGTTTATTGCATATCGATCGTATGGCCATTTTTTGAATTTTAATAATTGGTTTAATATTGTTCCGTGCAGCTGATTCCCAACAGCATAGACCGTAGCTAATACAAGGGTGCATAGTAAATTGCTTGTAAGGCTTGACGATTTAAAAAGATGTTTTTCTCCAACCACCTGAACAAGACGCTATTTTGTTATACTTTTTGGTCCAAAAAATGGGCGATTTGGGGAGTCGTCAGTATCACCATGGTAACTGTCCAAAAAGTAGGTACTTTTCGGACTAGTCCGCAAAAGTAATTTGACCAACCAAAAAATTACAAATAGTTGTCATTGACCTGTCATTCAGAACATGACTCGAGATGTCACTTTAACAAAAACCGTAAACATGTCTACTTTTATATTAATCAGCACTTGCACATCAACTTTCAACAAGATCGAAATAAATGTCAACTTTCTATAGGAAGCGCCGTCAAGACTTGTTTAGACGTGCAAGATTTTATTGCAGGAATGACTTGCCTGAAAGTTTTCGACTTGCCGGGCCGAGCTCTTCTATCACCGTTTACATTATGAGAGTTATCGGGAAGTGCTCTCCGACACAAATTTGTGATAGTTTTACTATCCCGTGTAAATTACGCTTTAGTGCGTGAAAGAAATAACTACCTACAAAATGTTGTTTTACATTAAAACATTTACAGATTTACAAATGGAATTGAAAATTACAGCTTCGGTAACATATGTTCGCAGTTAACATGTAGGAGTAGCACTTCTAATTAAACTTTTTGAATCAAAGTGAACATTCTTTCAAACATAGAAAAAACAGTACACAGACAGACGAAAAGTAACTTCGCAATTCAATTCATGTACGATTATCTAATATGGGCAACTTCGCACAGTGCTTATATCCGCATGCTTTGGTTGTGAAGAAAATATGTTTCTAGGTAAACAGTTTCGCACCTTCAAGTAAGAGTAAGGAGATGTTCAGCATCCTAGACCTAATTCTATGCACTCCAATGCTTCCTGTACTTGTACCAGTAAATTTCGAAATTAAACTTGTCATCGACCACTTAAAAAGAATCTTACGTTAATAAAATGTACCCGTTTATGCTACTTACTTGATTGTACATCTTGTCGTATTTGATTAAGCAAAAATAAGATGTTTCGTGTTCATATTGAATTGTTCTAAGATATTTAGGTACTTCATGTTTACTTTCATAAGGAGGCTAACTTAACCTAAAAAAATATTAATAGAGTGGCACCCAAAAGATGAAGCAGTGGTCGACAAACGACAACTACAAGAGCGTGCGCAAACACACTGGGTAAGTAAAAAAGTGGTTGGAGAAAAAATCGGAATGTTGGTGGACGACGCTGACGCGCGTCGTCCACCACCACCCTTCCTCGTCCCGGAAACGTGCATTTTTCGTACTTATGAAACAAATAACTATTTTAGTAAGAATATTTTTCTGCTAATTGAATACGGTTTTCTTTCTTTTTAAATTTCTTATATGTCACTTCCAAGTTAATTTACTATCTAAAATAATTCCCAAGTATATTCGGCTTTCTGTTTGTGCAATTATTGGGCAAGTACAAGAGGTACGTACGTTACGCTTGCAATTACTCTGAAATTGAGGTTGATTGTATATCCTGCGGGTAGTTTTGATGTAAATTTAAAATGTATAATTTTTGTTTTATTGACGTCCATAAATCCAAATTGATTGACAGATATAACATTAGTGTTAATTAGAAAATTCATTAGTCGTTTGTTTTGTCACTTTTTCAAATATTTAGCTAAGTAATACCTTTGGCATTGAATAACTAATAATAAGAAGTGGAAATACGATGTGCGGTTTGTACAGTTTTAGAGTAGTACGGTCCATCACCGATAGTACGGCGATACCGTCGGGTGGGGGTTTGGCGTTTGATTATTTAATGGCATTTCATTACTTTTTTCATATATGTATTAAGACTTTTCTAGACGCAAGAAGCGCGCATTGTAGGAATTTATTTAAAATCGTGTGATCCATAAAAACAGAGAGCCAAACGCCAACCGACGGTATCGCCATCTATCGGTGATGGACCGTACTACTCTAAAAAACTGAATACGTATTTCCACTTCTCATTATTAGTTATTCAATGCCTGTGGTAATACTAAGGATACAGGTCTATAATTATTAATGTCTTCTTTATTGCCTTCTTTAAAGATATTAGGAACAACTAAACTTGTTTTTAAAGTATCGGGAAATGTGTTAGTTGCATGCATATATAGCCAAAATAAGAAGTACAACGGAATAGGTTTCGTTGAAATAGTTATCTGTTAAATGTGTTGCCTAACCACGTGAATCAACCTCCACGGATATGCTTGCAATGGCCTTCCGGGTTCCTACTTGCAATGTTGCCATATGCCATAACATCGTGCATCTTTATTTAATATTATTTTTCAAATCGACCTTTGAACTCCTAATTATTTTCATACATAATTTAATTTTACCTAAAATATGAATGAAATTGTTTGTTGCAATGTTTATAGTAGAGATGGCAATAATATTGTTATTAATTAACCTGTTTTTATTAGAAATACGTTACCGGCAGGTATACTCTTCCATGTAATATTTGGTAGGTATATGTATGGCGTGTTTGAAATTTCAAATAAATTTTTGCATTGCTTCGTTTATTTTAGGTAGGTAAGGTACGTTACACAGTACCATTGAATTTATAGTTATAAATTCAATGACAGTACATTCCACATTTCAATGGAAACTGCAGGGTCATTACGAACGAGCCCGAGTTTATTAACAATAGGTAAAACTTACTTGGGCAACACCAGAACGCAATGTAATTGCGCCGTATCGTAGCCCCACAACGTGAATTCAAAAAGCGACGCATTGGAGGTATCTATATTGAGGTACGTCGGAAGCTGCGATGCCATCTTTACGTTGAGTACAGGCGAAGCTACTCCCGAAGCCTTTATGGTAACGGTCAACGGTCCCAATTCGAAAGCTTCTAAACTTCTGGAAGCTATTAAAAAGCTATCGACGTCCTCCGTCAACTGGATAGCGCCTCCTTCCTCGACCAGCATTAGTTCGTCGTCCATGATCGTCATCAAAAGATGGAACCTCAAACGTATCTATAAATGTATAAAAATATAATAAAAATTTTTTATACGACTGGTAATTAATTAAATCAAATGTATTTTATCTCCTTTAAAAGATGGTGCTTAATATATGCTTCATTTCCATTATGTCGTATATGAGTTTTGGAATTAATAATTAATTTACATTTATGAGATTTATGTTGGGTTTATGTACTTTTACGTATGTAAAGACATTTCGTTTCAATAAATAATAGTTGTATTTTAATTTTTTTTGTTGGGTATGGAGCAAAGGGATTCGTCGTTTTTAGGTTTAGTCAAGGTCAAAAGTACGTCAGGTGCTGTGACATATTTCCGTCATTTTCGCGTTATTGACGTGAATGTAACGTAAAAACTGACGTTAAAAAAGAGTCATAATGACGAATTCTTTTAGTTGGAGTACCCCTACTATAAAACTCTAAAAAAAAAAGAATTGGCGCGGGGCGCTTTTTCGAAAAAATCGCATAAAATAGATATACGTTATGGCGGCATGCTTTACGTACAAAACAATACCTACCTACCTATATAATATAATGTTATAGTATAGGGTAGGTAATAACTCGCGCTGGCAACAATAACATAACGCACCTATCGTCGACGCCAATAACAAAAGTTCGCGCGCGATAAATTAATTAAGGAAACTACTATAGAAATACTTATTATTCACCCTAAAGAAACACACAACAGGTCGCAGAGTCGATCGCGGTAAAGTTTTGGCCCCGCTATGATAAAAATTAGGCGGATAATTATGCGATGTGACATCAGATTTGAGTTCATTAGGGAGTTGTAATCGCACCCACCCCCCCCCCCACTAATAAAATGAGCAAATTCGGTGGCGGATAAACGAATTTTGTGTTATAGGGAAAAATTGATAATCAGACCGGCCCCATTTTACCAAAGTAAAAGGTACAAAAATCGATATTGTATTAAAAATTTAATTACGCAATACTACGCCATAAGTAATTATAATTACCTATTTTAAGTTTGTCGAAAAGCAAAAAAAATTAGAGTAAAACTGGCAATCAAATAAATTGATTTTATTAATTAAATACAACACCGGCCCAAACTGTATTTAAAAAAAAAGCACCGGACATGAAAAAAAATCCGATGGCTAAGCGTCAAGAGTGATCCAACACCCCCCCTCCCCCCGGATTGATTTAATAAAATAATGGCTAATACGGATACATTGTAATAAAAAAGTTTCAACAGAACAATTACATTTTTCAAAGAGCACGCAATACATTTTAATCGACGCCAGTTTCTCCGAATTGGGATGCGCGCATAATAAAGGAATCTCTTATAAGATTATGCACGTGTTATGCGACTCTGCAGTTTTGCACGTTATCACATCGCCGTCGTCGTCGTCGTCCCCTACGAATACTCAGAAAACGAATCGAAGGAATTCAACTTCATTTCCGCAATAATATCAAAACATACAGTAGCGGATTAAGGCTTATGCCGGGGGACCCTCGGGCCACTATCGAGATACACGCGGGGGCCCTTGTAAAAAAAATGAATTTATTTAGTTATGTCACTATAGCGACTTTACGAACTTGAAATAGTCAACATATACAGGGTGTCCAAAAAAAACCGACAGGCAAATTGCAACGTCGTCATGGTTGATATTTTTAAATAAGTAATAGCATGGTTGGATATGACTGTAAAATGGCTACAGTTTTAGTCCCACTTCCGGTTTAGCCGGAAATGACACCTACTTTTGATTTTCAAATGGAAGGTATACGATTTCTATCTTAAACTTGAATTATCAGTTCATTCTCAATTCAACGATGACTAATTTTAAAATTTTACTCAATAAATAAACAATTAATTGAAAGAAAAATAACACGTATAGGTAGGAGACGAACATAAAATATGATTATTTTAGTCATCCATGACAAGACAACAATACCGGAGTCATGGATAACTACAAAAACTTAAATTCAAACAATGTTTGCATATCGCCTACTTACGCCGATTTTTCTTTTACCACTAATCGATTACACATCAGTATAGTGCACAACAAAAACAATGCGCAACTTTTGTGCTGCAAATCGAAACCTATTGATTATGTTTCTAGGGGTCAAATAAAGCAGAAAAACCCCATGGGACCTCTGGGATTTTCGCAAATTTTCCGCAACACCTAAATTAAACAAAACATAAAAAAACCTCATAATTTGACTTTTAATTTATTTTTCTCAGCTTTGGAGTGACTGCTTTTTACTTTTAATAGGTGACGATTCTTAGAGCTGGGACTGTGGCAAATCTAAAACTATAAACTTTTATCAGCTTTTGACCAAAAATGGCTTTGGCCGAGCCGTTTTTGTTCAAAAAGGTACAATTTTTACTAAATTCTTTTAAAAAAATCGCCAGTCACTCAAATTTTACATGATTTTTGACTTCAAGTATACATATGAATAGATTGAGGAAGACTTGCTTTATTCAAGAAAAATATAGGTTTGAGATACGGGCACTAGAAGTTTAAAATTTATATAATACAAAAGTTACAATTTTTTTAAATCGAAAAATCGCAATATTTAAGGAAAAATCACTTTGTGGACATGTATGTATTATTCTATTAATGCGTGCACAGCACGGGCTGTATGCTTTAGGTCAGTAATTTTCAGAAATGCACAGGAATTACATATATACAGGGTGACAATTTGAAAACTTACCACCCCCTCTATCTCTGAAAATAAAATAAATATTTTCAGAATTTAAAATCGGTTTTTGTAACATGGAGGGAAAACCACAATGACATAGTTGACGACGCACCCTCTCCAACCCCTTGCGCTCCAGCCACCCCAACTTTAAAATCTTAAATAGCAACCGCCATCCTTGTGTGAGACGTTATGTTGGAAAGCTCTTAGTACCCGTATCTCAAACCCATATTTTTTCTTGAATAAAACAAGTCTTCCTCAATCCATTCATCTTCTTGAAGTCAAAAATCATGTAAAATTTGAGTGAATGGCGATTTTTTAAAAGAATTTAATAAAAATTGTACCTTTTTGAACAAAAACAGCTCGGGCAAAGCCATTGTTGGTCAAAAGCTGATAAAAGTTTACAGTTTTAGATTCTCCACAGTCCCAGATTTAAGAATCAGGTTATTAAAAGTAATAAACAGTCACTACAAAGCTGATAGAAATAAATTAAAAGTCAAATTTTGAGGTTTTTGATTTTTTGTTTAATTTAGGTGTTGCGAAAATCCCAGAGGTGCCATATGGGGTTTTTCTGGCTTCATTTGACCCCTAGAAACATAATCAATAGATTTCGCTTTGCAGCACAAAAGTTGCGCATTATTTTTGTTTCACTGTGAATAATAAAAATTTGACATCGTTGTATTGAGAAAGAATTAATAATTCAACTTTAAGATAGAAACCATGCATATACCTTCCATTTGAAAATCAAAAGGAGGTGCACCATTTCCGGTTAAACCGGAAGTGTGACTAAAATTTCTGATATTACTTATAAATTGAATAGTCATATTGAAGCCATATCCAACCATATGTAATTGCTTATTAAAAAATACGAGCCACAACGTCGCAATTTGCCTGTCGCCTTTTTTTGGACGCCCCGTATATATAGGACAAACAAAGAAATTTTAATATTGCATATAAAGAAAACGGAAGTTGTTATAAACAAACATCACAACATAAACAAATCTAACTACCTACAATCGAACATAAACATGCTATTCTCAAAATAATATTTAATCCACAAAGTAATCGAATTGTATTCTAAGGCGCTTTATTTGTAACATTTTACACTGTATCATTTTCATTTCTTAGAAAGGGGAAGGAAGAACCTCGCCCACGCACCTTCACACAGTATCCCTGCGTATTTTGCGCTGACACTGGAGATTTTCAGAGTCAACGCACTTTTCTTAGAACGGCCCCACTTGTTCTCAAACTCATCTAAACTATAAATATCTGGCGTTCTCCTCCATCAGATATCATTGCTCCCGTTGCGCTCCCTAAGTAGCTATCTATCTATCTATCAGTTCTGTGTTAGTGCGGGGTATTGCTGCGAAGAAATGTCCGGTTACAGACCACGGTATACGACCGACGAGGAGATCCAAATGCTGAGATTCATAATTCAGAGCGAGGGTTATTGGCAGCTCCGAGGGAAATCCTTTTGGCAAAGGATGGAGAGGGAGATAATGACGGGCCGAACGTGGCAATCGTTAAAAGAGCACTTCAGAAAAGTCGTCGTTCACGACTTGGCCCATCCAAAATTTAAACTCGCTGCCAAAGAAGTAAAATTAATAAAATACGGATATCACAGCAGCGCAGCCGATAGTACCCCTCGCAAGCGTGACTGCCCGGATCTGGCGACGACATCATCCAAGAGAGTCCGAAAATCCTCCTCCACCACCACAGTAGGGGTAATACACGATTCATCCTCGGATGATGACGATGCAAGCAGCACTGCGGCCACCACAGGGGCAATAGACGATGATGAAAGCAGCACTGCGAGCAGCACTACCGCGGCCGACCATCCTCCTCTTCCTCATCCTCCCGTAACGGAAGCAGAAGCAGAGGAAGAAGAAGACGACGACTGTTCGGCTGGCGATAGCCACAACGGCACCACTGCAGGTGAACACACCCCCGGAACATCTTCTGAAGCAGCCGCAGCAATTCGTCGCTTAGTCGAATACGACGACACAAGTTCCGAAACCAGCGATTAGTTGGTCGATTTTTCTTGTTTTTACCAACCTGCAAGTTTTTATCTATAAATTGTAATATTTATTTTATTTGATTATACCGTACCAAAACGATAGTCCTTTGAACAGCAACAGCGAGCGGCAGTCGGTAGATAGCCGCAAACTACCCACATAACACAATCCCATCCATTAGATGTCAGATAGAGAGCAATTGTGGACATCCATAATATCCATTAGATAGCTGTAGCAGTCCCATAAATAAAACACCTTTAGATGGGAAACTCCCATGTTACCGACTGGAATTGTAAAAAGCGCCATCCCGTGTCAATAGGGGCAAGTAATAATTGAAAGCGGGAAATTCAAATCTTGTATTAATGTGTTTGAAATTAAGATTGAATGTAAATACACGAATTGTAATACCTTAAATGAACTTTATGTATCATTTAAAGTATCACAATTCATGTATTTACATTCAAGCACATTTATACAATATCTGAACAGTTTATAATCGACACTTGACTTTAACGTTGTCTATAATTAACAAAAAAAGTATTAGAAAGCGAATTTATTTTGCGTACTGTATACTTGCTTTACAAAATATAATGCTTTATACTTGAATTTGAGTAATTACGTTATAACTTGTACGATTACAACCGAGATTACAACTATACTAAAAGGTACTTACACTAAACACTACAATATTTACAAAGTATTAGTACAACTATTTTTTATATTTACATTTCTGTAAATGTAGATTATGGGCATGCAATTTTATTGGATCTACTAGAGATAGATTAGATGTTAATTTTAAAAACCGTTCAAATTTTGTATCTTTTCCTGTTAAAATACGGTTAACTTGTTTGCACCAAAAGTACAGGATGCATCTTACTAAAAATGAAACAATGAGCTTTCCTAAATTAGGGTGAGATGGGCAATTGAAGCTATTAAAGTTCAAAGTTTGCATTAAATGTGTTAACAAAAAATCACTGAGTTTATCCTTAGCGCAGTGCCTAGGAATTATATATAAAGAGCGAGATAATACTTGCCCACAAATGAAAAATAAATAGCTTCCTGGCCTATACAATTTCGATCCTGGATATTGTCTGGCTTCTATCACTTCCATGGGAACATTCCCATCACTGTAACTTAGTTTATTGTTACAACTTTCACAGCCTTTAGTTTTTTTAATCATTTTTTTCCCTATGTACCCAGCAAAATACGCTACTGTGGAAGAAGCTACCGGACTCCTTTTATAGGCAATGGCGGAAACAGGCACCTCGACAGCAACTGCGGGTTCTAGTGGCTCAACACCAGGAAGGTCTTGATTTAGTAAAAATGATGAAATGATGCACAAACAGATCGACTTGTACCTACATAATTCAAGATATTATTTAAAAGAATGTTAGTTACATTTGAGTTACTTACTCCACTGGGATATACGCTTCATAAGTGAGCCAACATTCCAGCTAAATACTTGCGTCATTAGTGACACTTTCATTTTATTCATATGCTTAGCATATATATGTGCATCCGTTAGTTTGACACACAGACGAGTGGGGTCCATGGTATCCAAGAGGTAAAACTTCTCAATGTGCTCCCATTTTGCAACTTTGATTACATCATTTTGGGTAAATCGTGCATTGTATTTCATCAAATTATTGCGGATCCCTTTAAATAAATGCGGCACATCGTACAATGGGACAACCTCCTGCTTCTTTATCAGAAATCCATGATATCGATTCTCTATGCCTTGTGTTTGTAAATATTCTGCAGTATCCCGTAATAGGCTATTTATTGCAGCTCTATTTGCAGCCCCTTGATCGCAGATTGTTGCGATTACTTCTACTCCAATTACTTGACACTCTTCAATTATTTTCTTAATCATGGTCTTCAATAGAACTGATTTAATAGGTCCAGAACTAAATGTAAATGCCAATGGTTGTTTCCACTGTCGATAGAGGCCCTTCAACATGAAGACATTGGCATATGTAGCAATTCGAGGTGATCGTTGCTCACAATGTTCAAGTCCATCTACGCATTTCAGACTGGAATTGTACGTAACAGAGGGAGATATAGCCATTTCATCAAAGACCAAAGCAGCGATCTTCTGATTTTCTTCCATGCTTGCCACAACACATTCCAAACTTCTAAATAGCTGTTTATTTATGCCTGGGCGCAATGGTAATTTATTTAGTACATTTAATAGTGTTTTCCGTGATGGCATGCTGAATATTTTTGATAATAATCGGAACACTTTGGGACCCGCTTTCAGTAAGGTTAGAGCAAATATTTTTTCATCCAATGAAAATCGTCGACCGTGGGGTGGTTGCTTCTGGGTTCTAACTTGTTGGAGTATAAACATTTCCGTAGTTTTATTCACAGTTTCGAAAAATTTTAGATGTGTGGGCGAGTTTATCATTACCTCTGCATTACGTAGCCTTGTTTTAAAATCGTTAATTTTAGACTGCATTTTAGCTGTTTTGACTATTTCACGTATCTGCATACTGTACAGTTTTTTACACCGTGGTGACAAGAACTTGGTTCGAGTTACATTAATTTGTTCTAAAATGCTTCGCCGTTTTTTAATACCTGTAAGAGTTTGGTTAAATTTATGATCCACATTTTACTTTAGAAATACTTACATAATGGTAATGATTTAATCTGTTGTGGATGTGAGGATGGTATATTTTCCAGTGACTGTTGCAATGGTAATGGGCAATCCAAATTAGCAATTTTCAAGTTCTCAGGGATAGGTATAACTAAAAGTAGGTAGTTTGTATTAAAAATTTAAACAAGCATATCGCAATAGGTACCTTGCAAACTACGTGATGTTGATGGTTCATTTATAAAGCTGCAAACTTGTGAGGGATTTTCCGTAACGTGATCTTCCACTTGTGGAACTATGGACGCAACATCAGGTGCAACTGTAACATTAATAATTTAAAATAGACACCACATTATTTCAGTTTTTGATCATACCTGGTAAATTTAAGCTTGGGACAGCATCTTCCGTTATACCTTTTCTTGTCCCATATAACAAGTATTCTTGAGAGAAATGTTGGCTACATACAAAACAACTTCGACGTATGTACGCTGCATTATAGTTCGCTAATTTAGGTGACTGGATAGCATGCAACCATTGTTGAAGTAAACCTTCTTGTTTCGGAAAACGGTGACGTTTACTCACTTTGTCGTTACAGCCTGGTACAGAACATTTGTTCTTATATTTAATGGTTGGAAGATCCATAATACTAGAAAATGTTATCGATATAGTTTTGATTTTTACAATTTGTGAAATGTTTAGGTGAAAAGGCTTACTTAATTAGGCAACTTACCAAGCTATAGTCTTTAACTAAACACGTGTAATATATTAATGTACATAAAAGTTCTTGCTAAATAACTAAAGCACTATTCTACGAAAAGGTCCTAGGTATATACAACAAAAAAGTGAATTTGTACACTCCGAAAGACGTTGCCGAACGAAGTAAACTATAACTACACGCGGATCGGAACTAAGAAAGCAATCTTAAGTTAAGATGATAGAACAAACATTTGCAAAAATAGAGAGAAAATCACACACGATGGAATAACACGATCAACGTAACCAATGGTTTGTTTATGTCAACCCACGCCGCGTGGGCACGCTGAACTTTACGCATGTCAATTTCATACTTATGCGAACAGCGCCATACCGTGTCAATAGGGGAAATCACTAGCCTGTGGCTAAACCTCAAAAACTCTTTCCCAGTTGCTCCCATATGAGTTTCCCATCTAAAGGTGTTTTATTTATGTAGCAGTCCTATGGACATGTAATGGATATCCAGGTGTCCGCGTAATATCTATATCAATTATAGATATCACATGGAGTTAATATAGATATTTGATAATATCCCTTAGACATCTAATAATAATGAGATAAATAAACTTTCAACACATGTATAGATATTACAGAGATATGTAAAGAAACATCTATTAGGCATATAATAGCAATCAACTATAGATATATGGAGGAATAAATAAACCAAAATTCAAAATATTCATTTTTATTTTACATTTTATGTTTAAATAAAATGTATCTACATATAAATTATTACTACTCAGAATCTCGTATCTCTTCCTCCACTTCTGCCCCATCCTCCAGGACTTCCGTCATTATTCTCCTTATTTGTTCTGTAAGATTTGAATTAAGTATATTGTGGCACGTGTCGGCAATCATAAACACTATAGCTACAGGTATCGGCATATAAGAGGGTGAGTACGGGCTATGCGCAGATGACCAATTTAATGTCTGCAGGAGGAGCCAACTAATTCCGTGGCGCACTATTAGGTGCAATTAATAGAATATAAATAGTGAGTATGCGTCATCTCTCGCCTTCTTATGTGCCGATGCATGTACATTTTTAACCCAAATTTAATTACTTAACTTTGTATAATCGTTTCATGATAAAAGGATTAATGTAAGTGTATATCCAAAATATAAATAAAATAATTCTAACAGATCAATTATACACCTTTGTTTTGGTAATTACAAAACATAAAATTTAGACAAATGAAATAGATTTTGAAAAAATGTAGGCAAGCTGTGACAATAATTATGAACAGATATATTTGTGCGCATAGTATTACATACCTATTTTCCTGGTGACGTTTCCTACAAATAAACAAGATGGTTATAGTTCACGGTCAAAGGATCATACGTACTGGTTTTTACTCCGGGCATCCGCATGACGCAACCAATTTTTTATGCCATCAATGGTATCTTTTTCGGTACTATTTTTCCCCACAGTATTTTTTCGAACAGCTTCCGTAAGAATTCCATAGCTAATATCTAATACACTACATCCTTGAAAATCTTACTTAAAGCCGTTTTACATTACACAATAAATGAGCCAAAAAATTGTATAATTTTTTTAGACAAAAAATGTCGTAGGAAATATGTTGTGTGCGAAGTTTGTCCGTTTGATATACATACAAAATTTATTGTACGTGATCATGCGCAGTTTAATTGTTTGTTATTTTTATTTTCATAATGAGTAGTTTAAAGCAAAAACTTTTAATCACTGTTGCTGTTGTAAGTTCTGTATTACCGGTCAGACAACTTATAGACAAAGGCAGTGTAGACAAATTAAAAGAGAAAAACCGTAAAACTTGGCAAGAGAAATCTTTATGTTTAACAAAGTAAAGAACTGGATACTTCCTATATTCTTCAATCAAACATGATATCTGATCACTCGACCACGACATCTCAAGTTTCAAGTTTTAATGATAATATAAGTAATATAACGGTATGAAACACAGTACACAATAATTACTCATCACCATCAGCGATCAGCTGTGAAGTGTGAAGCCATTCCACACGATAACGCATGCGTACTTGAGAAATTGAACGAAAAATTGTATGAAAATAGAGCATGTTCTAAATATCTTGAACAATTTGGATATCGCATACAATTTTCCGTTTGATATTACACAATATTTCTAGGCTCAAAAATTGTGCAACTTCTTGTGCAATTTATTGTGTAATGTAAAACGGCTTTTAATATCACATCTGACAGCTTCAAACCAGTTTCTTTTTGGCTCCCATCCAACTATATTGCCGCGCCAGGTCATCCACGAACAATTTGCGCAGGATTAGTTTGGTAATTTCCTCAACTTTATGATCACCAATGCGACTTAACGTAGTAATCTAAAAAAAAATGATTGATCACTGCTTCTATAACTTTTGTTACTACCCACCAATCTGTTTTTGTATTCATTTTTGTCTAAAATATTTTCCATTTTCTGCACATTTACGGTGGTCTTGAGAGGAAAATATTTTAGCACATCGTCTGGTTCAATTTCTTCTTCCTTCTCACAGCGACATTTATTTTGTTCAACAGTTTGTACTAATTTGGTAAATCCAACTTTTATGGACTGTATTTCTTTGAATATTCGTTTTTGAAAATCTGTAGATACATAAATGAGTCACAAGTACTACAATAAATAGAAAATACCAAACATACCTTCATATGAAAGCGATGGTACCGATTGTGAATAACTTGCTTCTAAAACCACAACAATTAAAAGAAGTAGATGCTATTATTAGAATAAACATACCTCGATATAAATGAGGTGATGGTGAAACAATTTGTGAACCACTTGCTTCTATAACCATAACAATAAATTACAAAAAACCATGGTATTTAGTGAAACAAGGTCTGGTTTTCACAACTCTTTATAAGGTAAGTATAACTAAAGATAACTTTTTCTATTGAAAATGTATGCTTAATGCTCGGCTTAATGGATAAATAATTAAATGTCACTAATAAGAGTCGAAAGGCAGACCTCATTACAAAACAACAAACATACCTTCATATGGAACAGGTACCGATTCAGTTTGTGAACGATGTGCTTCTAAAAAGATAAATAATTAATAAAGTTATTGTCACAGAATTCATCAGAAAACACATACCAATCTGAGATATTTTTTTTGCAGGAGTAACTTCTGAACATCTTTGTGTGCGTAATCTTTTTTCTAAAACAACAATATTTAAACTATATTTATTGTCACACATTTACATAACGTAATTTACCTTTAATCAACTTTTTTTTTGGTGGTGAGGGATACGACTGTCTGTCACTCTCGCTACCTTCTTCATTTGAGGTCGACAAATGTTTTTTCTTTGATACTTTTCGGTATTGCTTAGAATCACGTTCACCATCTGTGTTTAAATCAGATGTAACTTCAGCTAATATGAGTTTTTCCCTAGCTTTCTCATATGAAGCTGTAATTAATGTAAAGAAAATTAAAACAAAATGCAAAGATTGTAAAACTTACAGTATGTTCCCAGGATCTTGATTTCGTACAAGTGCCACGATGACTTATCAGGGGCCTGCGTTTTTTTCACCTTCTTAGGTGGCCAATAGCATTGACCATTTGGGTGCATCCAAATATCAGGCACAATCTCCACACTTTCATCCTCGGCAAATGTGACAACATGATAGTTTTTAATAATAGACATCTAAAGAAATAGTAAGTACACTAATTTACACTGGTTAACTGTTCATATTTACAATAAGATAATAAAACTAAACTAGCAACATTTAAAAAATAAGGGTAGTAATTATAGATTTTCAAAGTTTGTTTCCATGAATGAGGGGAAAGACAGCAAATCCATGCTTGAAAGGTAGTATTAGACACTTATAACTTAATAATGAAACAGACCACATTTTCACTTCTTTGGATGAGATTTGTGGCAAAGAAGCAATTTAAAATAGAAGAATCACACGGAGTTTTGTAAATATCTCCAAGTTAAATAACAATTATTAACAAAAACGAACGGCGCGCCATCTAGACTCGGAAAAAAAATTTTTACGTGACTCCAACTTAAGAAACTAAATATCCAAAACGTACACTACACGGCTAGATGGCGCTAGCAGCCGGAAATTATATACAGTCACAGTAGAAATTAAATTAACATGCAATGCAGTGCCCTAACTTTATACAAAAAAAAAAATTAACAAATCGAAGAAGACACACACGCACAAAAAAACATATACAACGCGTCGTCAAATTTCCATAAAAAGTATAAAAACTTCAGTTCGTTTCGTACACACGAAACATATTACACGACAATCTTTTTAGGCACGTACAATTAATCTAAAACAGAAACCAAAAACGCATTAAAAGGTAATAAATGGAAAAGTTTACATTTTCTCCCGAACATATCGAGATGAAGTCAGGCAGGCAGACAGGCAAGCACCCCACAAAGGGGCAGCAGTACACGATTTATAAATATCACTCGCCGGCGTACTTTGTCCAAAAAGCGAGAAAATTCGCTCCCCGAGTCAAAAACGGAGTAGACCGTGTTGTACGTAGGTAGGTCGATAAGGACGTACCTGAAAAAAGCGAGTTATTATCGTATTCAAAAACAAATTGTAACGCGATATTAGAAAATATACATAAGCGAGACGTGTTCGTTCCACCACTTTCTTGTCATCGTTTTGTGCTTGTGTGTGTGCGCGCCCGCCTTCCCGTTTCGTCGTAGTTATCACGTACATACATTTACATTTAGGGAAACGAACGAATACATACAACAAATGTAGTCGCATCCTTTGCGTACGCCTTGTAAATTTATTAGCAGATTTCTAATTGTTTAAGCAGAAGAGAAGATGTTCATTTCCTAAAGTAAGTACGTGGCAAATGGGGAGTCAATCGTCCGCATATCCACACATGTCCATCTCACTTGAAGTCTTACCATCTCGGCACAAAAACCGAGCGGTCTTGAAGAGGTCGAGAACATCTTAGTATAATTATGCAAAAAGAGAACATTTCGTAATCTCTGCACACATTCCACACGAAAGACCTAGGCAGAACGAGCATCTTTAGCGTTACAATGCATGTGGACGAGATGAATACGAGCAGAGTGAAGCGGCGAGTGACCACCAATCTCCGCGCATTCAATCTCCAATACACTACTAAGACGGTCGTTTGCGATCCGGAGGAGAAGTACCTGCAAACAAAAAATCAATATCGTATTCACCCAACCAAGGACTTAGTATTCACCAACAAAAGGGAAAAGGAAAAGACACGCAGGCAAAGTGGGTGTGTCTCGTGACGAAGAAGCCATCACATCATGTCCTATAATACGTGTAGATAAGAGTCCGGAAGCACCCGCAAAGGCCCCAATTAATATCGTAAAAAATTTCGCAGGTGATACTAAAGCCGGCAGCCATCATATTACGGCGCTGCCAACGGTCAGTTTCGGTAGTGCCGCCAACCCCATACCTACATTTTGATGTCACCACGAGTTAAAGCTAAAATAGGTACACGGCGCACGAAAATAAATAACCGAAACGTAGGAGAACGTCAATCGGGCGATAGTCATTGATGCTTATAATGATGATTATTTTATGCATACATAATGATTGACCAATCACAGCGCAGCAAGGAAGGAGGACGGTTTAACAGCCCTTAAACGAAATTGATTAAATGTATGTCAAATGAAATTTAATTGACCGACAGCGACCGACAACTACCACACGTCCGTGACAACTACTAACTAGATTTTTTAGTTATAAAATAATCTACCGTATATAACACGTACTTGATTATTCAAAGGTTAAGGGTGTTAAGGGTAAAGTCCCTAGATATATAAAGTACCGAAATTCATAAGGCCACTGTTCAGGATCAAACATGGCCGCCACGCCAGCTGCTAGAAATAAATTAAAAGTCAAATTTTGAGGTTTTTGATTTTTTGTTTAATTTAGGTGTTGCGAAAATCCCAGAGGTGCCATATGGGGTTTTTCTGGCTTCATTTGACCCCTAGAAACATAATCAATAGATTTCGCGCTTTGCAGCACAAATGTTGCGCATTATTTTATTTTGTATTGAGAAAGAATTAATAATTCAACTTTAAGATAGAAACCATGCATATACCTTCCATTTGAAAATCAAAAGGAGGTGCACCATTTCCGGTTAAACCGGAAGTGTGACTAAAATTTCTGATTACTTATAAATTGAATAGTCATATTGAAGCGATATCCAACCATATGTAATTGCTTATTAAAAAATACGAGCCACTTGCCTGTCGCCATTTTTTGGACGCCCCGTATATATAGGACAAACAAAGAAATTTTAATATTGCATTTAAAGAAAACGGAAGTTGTTATAAACAAACATCACAACATAAACAAATCTAACTACAATCGAACATAAACATGCTATTCTCAAAATAATATTTAATCCACAAAGTAATCGAATTGTATTCTAAGGCGCTTTATTTGTAACATTTTACACTGTATCACTGGAGATTTTCAGAGACGACGCACTTTTCCTAGAACGGCCCCACTTGTTCTCAAACTCATCTAAACTATAAATATCCGGCGTTCTCCTCTATCAGATATCATTGCTCCTGTTGGGCTCTTTTAAGTAGCTATTTATCAGATTCAGTTCTGCTGTGTTAGTGTTGCTGCCTCCAAGCAAAAAAATGTCCGGTTACAGACCACCGTATACAACCAGCGAGGAGATCCAGATGCTAAAATTCATCATCGAAAAGGAGGGTTGGTTATTGGCAGCTGCGAGGAAACTCCTTTTGGCGAAGGATGGAGAGGGCGATAACGACGGGCCGAACCTGGCAGTCCCTGATGAAAGAACATTTCAGGAAAGTAGTCATTCACGACTTGGCCCACTCAAAATTCAAACTCACTGCCAAAGAAGTCAAAGTAATACAGTACGGATATCACAGCAGCGCAGGCGATAGTAGTAGCCCTCGCAAGCGTGATGACAGCAGCGCAGCCGACAGTATAGCAGCCCTCGCAAGCGTGACTACCCCGATCTTTTCAAGGCGACGACATCATCAACGAGGGTGCGAAAATCCTCCTCCTCCTCCACCTGTATTATTAACGATGATGACAACTGATACAGATAAATGTGGATTAACGTTTATTGTATGTGTTAGCCATTCTACATGTGTACATTATTCTGTGTCTATTGTATAACAGCAGCGATACTAAACATAACAACATACAGGGTGATACCATATAATACGCCGACTGTTCGAAAATCCAGGCCCCTCATACTCCGTCCAGTGTATGAGTTTGCATTTTAAAAAGTTTAAAAAACATGTCCTAAACCTACAAATAACCTAATATCCAAAGCTGCTTTGCTTCACACTCCGTCCAGTTTGATTAAGAATTTTCGTATGAGTCTGTAGTTCGAAAAAAGTTAAAAAAAATATTCTGAACCTACAATAACGTAACGTCAAAAGCTACTTGGTGTTGCACACCGTCCAGCTTGATTAAGAAGTGTTGTATGAGTCGACGTTATGGTCACGTTCGGCTTAGTAGTGTCCCTTGTTCACTTGTCGGCGATGTGGGCACGGACGGCGTAGTGTCCGTCGGCGAAGTGGGCATGGTCGGCGTTGTGTCCCTTGCACACTTGTCGACGATGTGGGCACGGTCGGCGTAGTGTCCCTAGTCGGCGATATGGACCTTCAAAAAATCGTGTCGGCGTTGTGGGCATTCGGCGAAATGTCCCGGCCTCCTGCAGGGTTGCGAAATACCTATCTTATTCGCAAAAGAAAGACCAAACCTATAGAATGCCTATAGTTAATAAATGGGTAAATAAAATAAACGCCAAATAAATTACAACACGCGTAAAACGTAAAATTATTGTAGGTTAGTAGGTTATCATAATAATGTTATAACGACGTAAAGTCCTCCGCAATTATCTCGCACATACGGCTAACGTCCAACGAGTGCCGAAATATATACACGGTGCGAGCGTATAATGATCTATTATACAGTAAGGTGTACTAAAGAACGGAGGTATTATGGCACTCCATTTTTATTACGTAACTATTGCACATGCGATGCGATTGACCACCGATTGACAACCAACAATGCCAGACGCCATTTCCATTTCCCTCAGTCACCGCACGCAGCCAGGATCGTAAATCGCCCTTTGTCGCTAGATGTCACTACAGATATAGCAGCATAAATAGCTTGTATAGTAGAGCGCTCGCGTTTCTAAATCCAAACTGATGGGAGTCTGAAAGAATAAGAGGTTTATTAATGTACTTTACTAGTCTTTCTTTCAATAACATTTCAAATATTTTAGAAATTAACGGAACTATAGTGAGATCGGTCGGTAATTATCATTTGAGTCTATTTCGCCCATTTTAAAAGTAGAAAGGACTTTGCTAATTTTTAGTAGTTTGGGAAACTTTTTTCATCTACCTATACATTTATTAAATAGGTAGGTACGTTAGGTAAGGTTTGGGTAAGGTTTGTGTTGGGTTTGGGTTAGGTCTGGGTTAGGTTAAGGTTAGGTTAGGTTAGGTTAGGTTAGGTTAGGTTAGGTTAGGTTAGGTTAGGTTAGGTTAGGTTAGGTTAGGTTAGGTTAGGTTAGGTTAGGTAGGTTAGGTTAGGTTAGGTTAGGTTAGGTTAGGTTAGGTTAGGTTAGGTTAGGTTAGGTTAGGTTAGGTTAGGTTAGGTTAGGTTAGGTTAGGTTAGGTAAGGTTAGGTTAGGTTAGGTTAGGTTAGGTTAGGTTAGGTTAGGTTAGGTTAGGTTAGGTTAGGTTAGGTTAGGTTAGGTTAGGTTAGGTTAGGTTAGGTAGGTTAGGTTAGGTTAGGTTAGGTTAGGTTAGGTTAGGTTAGGTTAGGTTAGGTTAGGTTAGGTTAGGTTAGGTTAGGTTAGGTTGGGTTAGGTTAGGTTAGGTTAGGTTAGGTTAGGTTAGGTTAGGTTAGGTTAGGTTAGGTTAGGTTAGGTTAGGTTAGGTTAGGGTAGGTTAGGTTAGGTTAGGTTAGGTTAGGTTAGGTTAGGTTAGGTTAGGTTAGGTTAGGTTAGGTTAGGTTAGGTTAGGTTAGGTTAGGTTAACACTCGGGGGGTGTTTGATTTTCGAAAGTTATACATCGTCGGAAAGGCCATTTAAAGACGCGTCGATAGACCCAAAGGGTCACTCAAGTTTCTCAAAAACGTCGGAGTTATGGCCGTAAGTGTTTTTCGAGACATTTGGGGGAATAACTCCGAAAAGTCGAGGTCACATGTCGGGGTCGAGGGGCAATTTCGAAAGCCAAAGAACGCGGCTTTCCAACGATACCTCACACTTTAAGATCGACTCGCGAATAACGAGGGGGCAGCCTCTCAAAGATTGCCAAATTTTGTCAAAATTTTCAAAAAATTTTTTCTCAAAAACCAAAAGGCCGATCGAGGAACGGATTACTTATTTCTTAAACGCCGGTCGAGTAGAGCGCACAAAAAAATTACGGTCCAAATCGCAGACAAAAAATTTTTTTCATAATCATCCCTTGGTCCCCCCTTCCAATTTAAAAAAAAAAACTTTTTTATTTACCGTCCGATTTTCAAAATTCGACCGGCGTTGGATAGATCTCGTCGAAAAAGCAAAAATCCAATCATAAAACGTTCGGGGTCATATATAAACGAGGGCGCTAGAGGGCGATTTAGGGGATGACAAAAAAATTAAAAATTAACGAAATTTGGCACACACGTTTGTACGGACCTTAGAAAGTCTCCGGTACAACTTTTACCCCTTTACGAC